GCGTTAATAGGCAAAAACAGTGAGATCAGATGCTAGTTATGTTTAGATTGTTTTTAACTGGCTTCGATGTTCTCTTCGTTTCACTTACTTCGGCGCTATATCAGAGCCTTGCTGCATGAGCGAGCCTATGGTGAACCAGAGCGAGTTCATCAGGGTGAACTCGTTCTCGAGGACCTCGGACTGTCCGTTGCACGGATGGGGATTCTCCCACTCGTAGGGGCTGAACCTGCAGACACGTGAAAGGAGAAGGGGAAGGATTAGACCTCAGAGTCGCAACACGCGTGCCGTACCACGGACCTGATCGACTTGAACCAATGAATTTGAATGAACAGCAAGTGGCTCGAATATTCCATAGTTTTTGCACTTTTTTATAAATACGTACAGCGAAGAGCACAATTTCATGATATAATTTTGTCACATAAGATCGTATGACGATACGCTTTAAAAACATGAAGCTTCTACTTTTTGACAGTCGGCGATTTTGTCTTCTTCGAAGATGATTTTACATCATACAGCGAGTGGGAAAATGAGGGGATTTTTTTTCTTTTTTCTTAAAATTCAAATGCGTATGGAAACATTAACAAAATTTTTCTTTTATGTATCTAGATCTACCATCATTTTGAAGACTGAAGTCTTCTTTTTACATCGATCCTTGAATCCTGTTGAACGATCTTTTTTTTTTTCTTCATTGTTTTATTGAACGTTGAGTATTAAGTTTAAACGACAAAAATTCAAGAATTTCGTCACCTAACGTCATCTAATGTTCCGTAAAACCGTACAGCGAATTTTAAGAGCTTTGGTAGATCCAGCAGAAAGTTTTTCGCTTTTAGAGATATTTGAATTTCCACAATTCCCAAAAGAAGATGATGTAAAATCTTCTTTGTAAAAAACAAACTCAAGAACGTGAAAATAAAGACCTCGAGTTTCAAAGCATCAAGTTGGATTTCGTTGCATCATTTACGAAATTATCGACAAGTTATTGTTTATGCTCTAAATCTAAGCACTTTTCGTTATCAGATTCCACGATCCACAGTTTTGGGAGTTCATTTCCACGATTATTCGAATCGTCTGAATTCTACGCGTTGTGCAACGACTATAGAAAATCAAAAATACAAGATACATGAAATGTGTAAACATTTGGTGTTTTGAAACTCGTGCGAAATCTCGTCGGCAAGTTTTGCTTTAAAAAAGTCCTTTATTTAACATCGGAGCTTCCTGGCTTTATATGAAACATGTTGAATGTAGACATTGACCTAATTGGCGAACCGATAGCGGTCTCTTACTCTCTTGGACTGTTAACCTAGCCTACCAAGCTATTCCAAAAGTCAATAAAGTGAGGGTCAGACCGAAGGGAGACCGATTGATGGCGTAACAATGTACCAAGCTGCGGGTTTAACGCTTAAATACATAGCATTGCCGTCTGGTAGCATACTTCCTAATACAGCGAACACGGCATTATGTGTTCAAATGTATTCGTGCTATTAAGGCATGAGATATCGTAAGCGAACAAATGTTTGTTCGCGAATAGAGCATCGTGACTTGTATTGTATAATGCATAAGATACGAGGTAAAGCGACTTTTAATTACAAGTAACCCTCTTTTTCGAACAAAGAAGTCTTCCCACATAAATTTTATTCGTCTATAAAACTATAAAATAGTAATTATTTTACTCCGTAGACGTAGACTTTGACGATCAAAAATTAATAAAGCAATGAGACATCGAATACTAAAAAAAAAAGTTTGTTCATGGACAGACCATAGTGAATTATATTGTACAATGCATATAAGATACGAGGTAAAGCGACTTTTAATTACAAGTAACCCTCTTTTCCGAACAAAGAAGTCTTCCCACATAAATTTTATTCGTCTATAAAACTATAAAATAGTAATTATTTTACTCCGTAGACGTAGACTTTGACGATCAAAAATTAATAAAGCAATGAGACATCGAATACTAAAAAAAAAAGTTTGTTCATGGACAGACCATCGTGAATTATATTGTACAATGCATAAGATACAAGAGGTAAAATTATAATTACAAGATTGATCGTAAAAATGACAGAATTTTAATTACAAGTAATCCTTTCTTTGAATAAAAATGTCTTTGAAAAATTATTACGTTTCCATAGTTTTGAGATACACGAATTTGTTCAGAAATAATTTATTTCATCTAAAAAAAAATCATGCATTAATATTGAACACGTAGACTTTGACAATTATAAGGTAATTTCGACTTCCTTACAAAATAAGAAAATTCCTATTACGAATGCAAGAAGTTCAATTTATTTGGATGATCCGCACGAAGCACAGAGATCGATCGCTACCGATCGAGTAACGATTCGGCACTCGGTGGCTCACGTGATACTTTATCTTTAGCTTGAAATGGTTCCTCTGTTTTTAGAATTACACGGGAACACATGTTCCTTGTACGGGAACTCCTCGGCTTTGCGGAGGATTTCGGCGAAAGAGATTTAGGTGAAAGCTTTAAGGAGACATATTAAGGTTACCACCGTTTTGCATTTTCCTTTTCCTTTTTTTTTTTCTTTGTCCGTTCTTTCTTGAAGAAATATTTTGCCTTTCCTCGTTGGTGTTTGATTACCGTTGTTAAGAAAGGATCATAGTTTCTATCATAGTGGCCATTCTAAATTAATGTTATACAGGATGGTCCAAAAGCTTCTTCCCACCTATTTTTTTTTTTTTTTTTTCAATAAAACTAACTTTATTGATTTTAAATTAAATTCAAGTTCAAACATGATTTCATTACGTTTTAAAAATCTGTTCAAAAAAAAAATGTTTAAATATATAATAAAAGAATTTTGGATTTGTTTTAGTAGGAATCAATTTTTACAGGCCCATCCTGTATTATCCAGGAACTAATCAAAAATAACACTACCAAAGGATCGAATGAAATGCGAATAAGAGTATCTCTTAATTCATTCTTTTCTTCCCTCGTTCGTCGGGAAACGCAGTTACGACTCTGAGGATCGTTGCCCACTCGTTAATCGACATTCATTCACAAAATTTACCAGGTGTCACGTTAAAGGAGAGACTGCCAGACAATTTGAAATCGATCCACGCTTAGAAACCACGTACAGGTTGCAAGATATATAGAACGTGGAGTCTCGTGCCAAAATTCTCTGTATAAATCTTCTCTCCGACATTCGTTAGATGCTCAGCGACCTCTCCTTGGGAAAAAAAAGGACCTCCAATTTCCGGCGACACGTACGATCGAACTCTGGATCCCGAACTTCCGATCGGGAAGCGACAGTCGTCGAATACGGTGTGAGGGGGACAGCCGCGTAACCCGAAACAACCGATCCCTAGTGGTCCCAACTGAAAACGGTTTCACGAAATCGTTCCGCTGAATAATTCATCCGTTGTTCGTCCTGCGGAGGGGGAGGGAAGGGGAGGCGAACTCGGTCGTTTGTGCGTCGCGCGGGGGTGGGGGGTGGGGGCACGAACAAGTAAATCGTTACGAAAGTGGATCGTCGGTTACGTAGTCATCGCTCTGGATTTACATGCGTTCAGTCGGCGGCAGGTTGCTCGAAGGCGTTGGAGGACAACGTGAGTGTCTAGATCGAGTACACAACGAAACCATCTAGAACGAGAACGCAAAACAGAACGAACAATAAATAATAAAATTACGAAACGGGGGGGGGGTGAAGAAAAGTAAAACGAGGCTTCGAAACAAAATAGAGAGAGAGAGAGAGAAAAGGAAATGATCAAGCGACCCAAAGTGATGCCAATCTAACGGCTTACTTGGGCAGAATGTCACAGCCCTGCCGCATTAAGGATCCGATGGTGAACCACATGCAGTTGAGCAGCTTGAAGCGATTCTCCAGATGGTCCGGGTTTTTGTTGCACGGATGAGGATTGTACCACTCGTACGGGGTGAATCTAAACTGATCAACTCTAGACAACAGTCTGATCCTTCTTTCCTCCTTCCAGCGTGGACGCATCTGCCCTTCCGTTGCGGATCGTTCGCCATTTACGTACGGAGATTAACCGTGTCGACAGAAAGAGAGGGCGGGGAGGGGGGGGAGGGGGGGGGGAAACAAGACCGAACGGAATGCGACAAGTCGACGTGTAATACGTCTGTTGCTTTCCTTCGTTCGTGCCGATCTTACGTACACATGTTCCGCGTAATCGGGCTCGCGACTTCTAAACCACGTCGACCGTGAAATCGGAGTTTCTATGTACCTTTGAAAGAGGGGAGGAGAGAGAGAGAGAGAGAGAGAGAGAGATGTATATTCGCGAGTCACCGAGAGTTAAATGCCTGCACGCTGTATTCATATATTATCGGCGAACGTGCAGCAGAAATTCTATTTCTACAATCAATATCATTGTAATAACGCGGCAGTTTACTGAGTTTATCGAGGATATGATCGCTAATAACTCCTGTGGCGTTCATCTACCGAAATTATCTATTAAACACGTACGCCGTCCTGTACTCCCTGCCTTTCGATTCGATGCGCGGGAACGATCAAACTGGCGAGTCAATATTGTTCGAGAGGTTTTCTTTTTCTGATTTCGAGCTTTTAATTTCACTTTTGGTGGACGATGGACAGTCTTTGTGAAAATTTACCCGAAAGATTCTCTCACGACGGGGTCTCTAATCGAGCGATAAATATTAGCCTATTAGGTTTAGAGATTTGTTCCTCCGTCGAACAATACGTTTGCGCAAATCTCACCGATGTTGGCACAATATTTTTATCGGGGCTTGGTAAGATGGATTCACTTGCCTGGCGAGTATGAAAAGCAGCACCGAGACGCCTAGATAAGCTGTCGCCATATAAATCCAAACGTCGAGGCTGAGCGGGCTGAGGAACGAGAACAGATTTGGCGGCTGCTTTATAGGTTTACGGTACAGTATGCTGATCCCTGTAAATTTTAGATCACACGTGTAAATCCACTGTAAAGTTCGAGTATACGGTGAAGAAAGAAAGATTCGCTTTAGAATAAAGGAAATTTACGCTTACATGCAAAGCTCTTAACATCGGAACTACCAAAGTGCTCAAAATGACCAATTTACAATTGTTGTTAAAAACATTGTAAGTAAACAGTGCGTGAAGTAGAAATTTACGCTTAATTTCGACATAATAAAAAATAAATCTTTATTTAATTCTGATTTATATAACTAATACGAATAATCAAATATTCGCTCCATGATTATAATTTAATAATAATATTATAAATAAATATTCTTACAGTCATACATTGTACAATTAATTATTCTAAATCCGAGATCGATGAATTTGAAATTTAATTTCCATTTTGAGTCTGTTCAACATATTTTTAAAGATTTTTTTTTTTGCAAGAAATATAGAAATAAAAGTTTGCGTTTATTCTGCAAAACATTTCTGTACTCTAACGTCTCTCTGAATAAGGCAAATTTCATGGCTTATCGTTAGGCCCTCGGTAGTTCTAGCGTTAAGAGGTTTCAAAAGCTCTAAATTTGAAATTACAGCGATCATTTCGACGAATCTATCTATCCGCGTTCTATTTTCGCCCCCTCGAGTTCGAAGTCCCCCCACTGAAAGGACGCTGCAAAGTTCTCAAAAAACTCAGACGTCGAACCGGTTTGCATGCAGAGTTCGAATCAATTCAACTGAATTGAAGATGAACAAGGTTCGCAGGGTCGTAGATCAAACAGATCGCTCACCTAGATTCATGAACGGCATGGTGAAGTCGACCACCTGTTCCCGATCGTACGTGATGGTCAGATCCGCGATCGCTAGATCCGCCTTCTGATCCAGCAGCTCTTTCATCATTCCGTCCCACTCTTTCGTCCTCTTGTTGTAGGAGCCGTACCGCCCGTCCGGCACCAGATTGAACGTATAATTGAAACCGAGGATCCTTGATATCTCGTAAATCAAGTCGACGCTGTAGCCCTCGAACTGTGCGTTTCCGGTCAGCTTCTCGCTCGAGTCCTTCCTCATGCAGTATGGCGCGCTCTACGGCATGACGAGTTAAACGTTAAACAATTCGAACGAAACGATACTTTGACTGTGTGTGTACAAATATGTTTCACACCGCTACACGTTCTCATTCGTCCGTGTAATTATCATTCGAAGAAAATGTTTGAAAAAAATATGCGTTCTGATTCAAACAAATATTTTCAGGATCTTATTGTGGTTTATTTGTCTAGATGGAAATCTCAATGATCAGTATTTCTAGTAAGATTTGTCTAGGCGGAGGCGTTTCTGAGCTCTCAAGGTCACATCCTTCGTTTCAAACGGAGTCGTATATTTCTTTCATGTATTAATCGATGCAGCTTGATAAGCTTCTCTATAAAAAAAAAAAAAAAAATGCACAATCTCCTATGTACGTTGAAAAATTATTACTAGTTTAGAAGACGTTTCAACTTTGATTTTGTAAAAGTCCCTGTCTTCCCTTGTCTTTCATACGATAGAGGCTTTGAAGAAAATGATTATATTTAAAGAACACTCTCTGTATAATATCCAAATACTAAAGTAGTTAAATATAAAAATTTTGAGAAAAGGGAAAATACAGTAATTTAATTTTAATGTATGCTACGTGCTTTTTATTAAAAAAAAAAAAAAAAACCTCTTTTGTCTGTCAGTACATCCTTTATTACCTCTGGCGTTCTTTCGATGGATTTATTTCAATCTTCGAATGGCATATTACGTTGTAAGATCTTCATTAGATGTTGAGAAATTTATTAAAATTTCATCAAAGTCCACATGTTTGATCAACATGTTGTTTGATCTCGCAACTCGGGCGAATTCTTAGGACCTCATTATCCCGCTGCACGATAAATTCACGAAAGCAAAACTATTTCGCTCGGCAGAATTATTTGCGGAAATTTTCAGCTAATGCAAGCAATTGTTGAACCTTTGACCGGCGGCACGAGCACGTGTACCTTCTGCGAAATACGAAGACGTGAAAATACTCGTTGCAACATTTATCAAGCAAAACAATTCTCGGCGCACGGGTTCTACCTCTTTACACTCATAAATATCCGCAATCCACTTACGGGAGGGGAGACGGGGAGAAGAAAAAAAGCATTGTTACGTACGATATTTCACGTCGAGAAATGGCAACGCAGCAGAATTACGCACGAACGAACGAATGTACAAGAACGAATGTTTAGATATTAACAAACAAGATTATTGACGCAGTGCGAAGCAACGAACACACGCGAAGCTATTGCACTCGGTCTAACCACATTTCGAAGGGTAATAAAAATCCCAGGGTCGCGCACAGGCTTCTTTCGCGGCCCGGTGCTGCTTTAATTAACGCATCGGCGGCGAGCAGCGATTGAATATGCACGCGCGTGTCGGCAATTGAAAGCGTTGCGCTCTCGGATTTGCCGGATTTCTTTGCTCTGCGTTGAAAGGTTCGATGCTCGTACAGGATTGATGGAGCGCACAGCGACGCGATAACCCCTGTACAGGCGCGAGGGCTGAGAGATGAAAACTTGGAGCCGAGTTATTTGGTGATTGCGCGAATGCGTGCTGGCTGGCAACTCCGCGAGTTTTGAATTCCGCGAATGTCGCTCGCGAAATGACGCGTTTACGCGAAACGCGATAATTAAATGCCGGCGCCGGCGGGGCGGAATTTCGGGGGAGAAGCCCCCCTTGGCGATTGATGTTGCGGGCGTACGTGCCCGATTTCACCGAAAAACTTTCGGCGAACAACTCCACCCGAAAGAAAATCCGATCGAGCAATCGAAGTTCCCGAATCGGGGAAACTCGCGGGACGATTTGCGAGACACCCGTGGAGAACTAACTGTGACCGTAGCGATGACTATTCGACGATAGATCGTTGATAATTTCAACCGATGTAACTTTGTAACAAAAAAAAAAAAAAAAAAATCATACGACGATCTATTTGATGATTTTACACGACGTAGCAAGTACGGGGAAAGTGAGCGTATTTTTTTCAAATTCTGTCAGAATTTTGTCAAAATTCAAACGAAACATTGAAAATTCCCTTTACAACGACTTCTTGAAACGACTTGCTGTACGATTTTTTCCTCACCGTTTTATTGAACGCTGAATCTTGAGGTTCGACTGAAATTTAAAAAATCCCAACATTTCGTTATTTCATCCTAACGTTCAAAGTTCGATGAAACGATGGTAGAAAATCGTACAGCAAGTATTAAAAGGTTGCAAAGAGAAGGTTTCAACGTTTGCAGCGACCCCTTGAAACTTGTTGTGCGATTTCTTTCTCGGCATTTTATCGAACGTCGAATGTTAGGGCTAAACGACAAAAATTCGAGAGATCCTAGCATTTCGTCATCTAACGCTAACGCCTCAAGTTTAATAAAACGACGAGACAAAATTATGCGACGAGTTTTACGGGGCTCGCTGTAAGGAGAGAAAACTTTTCATCTTCGAAAATTTTCGGAGCTATAGTCGTAAAGAAAATTTTTCCCGAAGTTTCACCCGGGTTTCGAATTTTGGAGGAGAAAAGTACAATTTTCGAGCAGAAAGTACCCTCACTTTGCCAGCCGTTATATGATATAACCTCATCTTCGAAAGAAAGGAACTCACGGCTGTCAAAGTAGAGACTTTACGCTTTGAAACGAGACTAAACTTTTTTTTTCTTTTTTTACGAAGTCGTGTCAGTTAAAATTTTCACGACGATTTTTCACTTTCATTGATACAATTATACTGCACGCACCGTGTGCATAATTCTTCTTCCATTAAATGATTCTATTCTGCTGGAAATAATTATTGCAGCGGAAAAACTTTGAATTGAGATCCACATTTGAAATACAAGTATCGCTTTATAAAGCACGTGTATGTACGTTTCTTTCATTAATAATTATAATTTTAATTTTCTGAGGCGGAACTCACTTTGAACTGAGATCCGCATTTAAAATATGATACAGGCGTTGCTAAGGAACGCACGTTCCTTTCTTTCTGAAAACAGTTACTGCAGGGGAAACTGTTGCATTGAAATTCACACTTGAAACACAAGCCTGTACGGAGCGAAAATAAATAAGTAAATAAATTAATTAAAATAAATAAAAGAAAAGAAAAGAAAATAAACAAAGAAATAAATCAATCAATGTTCGGCGTGTGTAACAAAGTAAATCCGCAAATGATTATACTCAGAAAAATATCGAGATCAATTCGTTTCGTCGATTACCAACGTCCACGAATGTTACGCAAGGCTTAAATAGGTTAACATGATACGCTGTTCAAGTACGTCGTCGACGAGTAATTCGATTAATTACGTCTTAGAGTTTTGTAAACCACAGACGTTTGTAAACCAAAGACGCCGAGCATTAAATTGTTCCGAGCACCCTCATCCGATCCACCGGATAAAAAACTTCGAACGCGATCTTCGTTCGTCCAGGAAGAAGCGAACTTTTTTTTTTTTTTTAGTCAGTTAATATATTCGTGAGCAGTGCGTTACTCGTCCTCGAAATTACCGCGAGAATAAACAACACGGCCCTGGCTTGCTCGGCGCAAAAACTTCAATTAAATCGCGTATCCCTTCGTCGTTTCCGGTTCCCTCTGGTTTCCTTTCCGTCGCCGCAAGAAGCAGCGCACGAAGGCGGCACTAGAAAGAGAGAGAGAGAGAGAGAGAGAGGACACTCAGAGGGTATCAAAGAGCAAGGGGAAAACGAAAGAGAGGGAGAGCTAACGAGTTGGCGAAGGCGGCGAAGGAAAAAGGAAAAGGAAGCTTCCTCCGCTTCCGCGCGGCGTTCGTTCAACTCCGTTTCTGTTTCCTTTTCATTCCGGAAAAACAAACAGTCGGGATTTTAACGATACGCGAATGATTTACGTGGGCCGGCCACGAGAAACGTGGGTGCAATTTTTTTGAAATTCCGAGGAGGGAAGAGAATTCGTGGGAAATCACTTTAGCTGATTGAAACGCCGGGCGATGAAATGTCGAGGTCGCTTTGAAAGGTTGACTCGAGGATTAGGAGTTCCTCGTGTTAGTCCACGGTCTTTTTATTTCGCGTAGTTGGACGCGAGTTTCACCCAGAGTTGTTAGATCTACGTAAGAAAACCAGTGGGCCAGTGGTAATAAAGTTTTTAATTAGCGAATGAGTAATTAATTCAGCTATGAATTTCAAAATCCGACTTTGAAGCAACGAGAACTTTGCTTCTCTAGATTTACGCGCAACCTAGATTTCCACCTCTTGCCAGCGCCGCGGGGAGAAAAGAATTCCACGAACTTCCTTTTCCTCCCTGCAGCACGTTTCGAGCGTTATCTCCGATATTCAACTGCTGAAATATTAACTCGAAAACATTTTTTCTATCATCTAGTTTTTGTACCATCTACCAGCAATTTATTCATGAAATATATGAATGAAGTATCACTTTAAATAAAATAGCGTTGGAAATAATAAAATAGCGTCCTTTAAGTTAGCGTTTAAATGATATTTCGCAAAAATGAAATTTTCTTGATTGTATTTCTCTAATATGTGATTTCTTTTAAAGCAATCATCAAGTATAGTATATAGAAGTTAATGATACGTAGTTTCAATCTCTTGAAAAATTTCCTTCGCCATTTCATAAACTTTCGTAAGAAGCTTATATAAGATGTTTAGTTTATTTGAATTATTCCGAATTTAATTCGAATAATCGATGATTCGATGATAATGAGCGTCAATTGAGTCAAGAATTTCTTCTTTTGAAATTCCCCTTACGTCGTTACATCGTATCATGTTATACAATATCTAAGTTCGTTATAATTATCAGAATTTAAAAAATTCGTCGTCGAGTCCCAAAGAGTGGCGAAAAATAAATTATCATTTTCGTAAAACAAAAGAGTACTTCGTTTGATTAATTTACACCAGTGCCATCTCGCTACGTTTGTGAAAGTCTGTTGGAACATCTTTCGCAAACTACTCACCAGGATTGTCGTTACGATGAAAGTCTTGTTCTGAAGGTTCTCCACGATTTGAGTGTATTCCTCTCTGTAACTCCTCGTGAAATTTATCCCCTTCGTGCTGTTCCACGTCCCAATCTTCTTCAATCCCTCTTTGTTGTTCAGCTCGATGATGTCTAGAATGAAGTCCGAGCGGAAACCTTGGTGATCGAACTTGATAATCCCTGTCAGACCTGTCATCTCCACCTAGAAACAAATGTCGAGCAATTCCTCGATGAGTTAGTCCTTCGAAAAGTTAGTCGGGAAATCGACTAACTACACCACTCGAGCCAAAAATAATTCCTCGGAAAATCTCTCGAAAAATTAGTCGAAAAAGTCGACTAGTTTCACCACTCGTGCAATTCACCAGCGAATTCCCCATTTCACGAGGGTAAACGGCGTTGGACATTTACAAGCGGCTGCAATTCGAAACGTCCGAAGGCGGAGGTGGCTGGGTTGATCGAGCGGACGCAATATGAACCGCGCGTTTACGTAACTGGGGTGAGGGTGAGGGGGAGGGCCGATATAATTAAACGCGAAATTCTAGTTCCAATCAAGCGAAGGCCACGCGGCTAGGAAATCGACGATAGCCGATCGAACGATCCTTCCTCTCGGTTCTTCCTCGTTCTGTTGATCGTTCCTGTCGGACAGGAAATTTCCCTCCCCCTTCCATACGTCGCACGGGAGCGGAAAAATATCCACGGGTTTGTTCACGCGAATCGTGTCGTAATGAAACGAGCGATGGCGTCGCTTGACGCGGATTCGCAATAAATTCGCGCGTCGAATCGAGCGAGCCAGCCAGAGGAAAATTAGCGGCAAGTTGCCATTACCTGCGTAATTACCAAGGCAGCCTTGACGCGGAATTTTCGGCGACAAATTGCGCTCGCCGGCTGTGTGTTTTCCCGGGCGACGCCCGTTCTCGGTTACGCGTCGCGTAATTAGTAGAATTGAAGGCAAAGGGGCGCGACAGATCGCGATGAACTATCGTCGTTTCGAAGTCAACGCTCGTGAAGTCGTGTTTCATCGATAATAACACTTACCCTAGAGAGAGAGAGGGACATCGTTAACAGAGGTGCCATTATTGAAGAAAAAAAAAAAAAAAAAAAGAAAAGAAACGGAACGAAAAGTATCAACAAAGTAATAAAAAATGAGAGAAGACTGCGGCAATTCGTTACTGGGCCGGCTGATTTTTTGAGGTAATTGAATTCTCCACTTACGCTGCTAATTGCCGTCATAGTGTTTCACACTATATCTCGTGCCGGAATTGTATCGTTTCGTTGTTCTTCTCGTCGTGGCATATTTGGAGTAGTAATGGTAGTTTTGTTATGTGCACGTTATCGCTTGGAAACGCGTTGCATGCGATATAAATATACGCCAATTAAATCCGTTTCGGATGAAAAGGGCAAAATAAAAAAAAATAAAAAAAAAATAAAAAAAAGCGAATCGACTCGTTGTACAACTGAATTCGCACAGAAGGAATCCCTTTGCGCGCGCCGACATTTCCGATTTTCATTTTATCGCGTTCCAATTAAAACTGCTCGTTAAACAACAACGTTAAAACTCGGGATAACCCTGTTGTTGTTATCCAAGCCAAGCGATTCTAACGGAGCCTCGTACTCGAACGAGTACCTGAATCCGTGATAACTACCCTGTCGAGGGTACTAAGATACCGATGCTTTAAACTTTAAACGATTGCAGTAGCAACTTCAACGAGGATATTCAAAACAAACGGCCGGAGAGGCTGCTATCCTACTTAATAATGTGTGTTTTGATAATCGTCTAAGCTTATTCGCCGGTTCTGGTCATCTCTCCACGATCGTTAATATGTCATCGAGAAATAGGCAATCTGTCTTCCACCGAAAAGAAAAGGTTACGCTAATTTCAATATATTGAAATGATCAAGAAAGGCAAGAAACTACGCTCGAAGAGCAAGAGGAATCTCGTTTCTTTATCGTCCGTGGAATATTACTCGAGTAATTAGAAATTTGAAACAGCCGCGATTCTTCTCGTGGCATGCGAAACTTTCCAGTTTCGTCCTCCCGCAGAACACGAGTCTTGCTCGTTGCTCTTCGGCGCACACACAGCCGCGAGACTTGATACCAGCGAATGGAGACACGAATGGATCAGGAAGACCAGCCTATCTTAATTAACAATCAGTTCCAATTGGTTCCAGACGAGGACGTCGCCGGTGGACTCGTAAATTTCAATTATTACAAAATAATCTGAATCTTCGTGGATACTCGTGTTTCAACGCCCTAAAAGGAATTGCCCCTGTCCATCCCCATGAATAATCCTGCCAGACCCTTCCACGAATCAAGAGGGATCCACTATCTCGGATTAAGTGAGTTAGTAGGTCGACCTCGACTGGTTAACGCGAGGTGGTCGGCGAACGTCGTCGTTGGTTTCACGGTCGGAGAACCGTGGGCCATAATTTGTCAACGCCTCGGGGTTTCGGGGGGTGAATTTTCGGCGTCGTTCGACGCAAGAGATGGAGTTTCCGCAAATCGTTCGCATTCGCTGGTGGCGCTCGTTATAATAAGCAGAGAATCCCAAACCGAGCGAGACAGTCCGATTAAACATATCGTTATAATGGCTTATTACGTTGGCCGGATGGTCGATCGATGCTCATAATTCCGCGAAATTAATTTCCCCCTTCTGCGCGATACGTTCCCGATAAACCTACCTACACACTACCCTGGCCTATCTCTCCCGACCTCTCGCGCTGTCCATCTCTCTGCTGTATCTCCCACACTCTCTTTATCTGCGTTCGTAGCGATAGAAACACCGCAACTGGCCTGCAAGATGCCTATCGATAACGCAACATTGTCGCATCGGTTATACGGGACGTTTTTGCCGTGAGCGGTGAGCTGGCTTCCCCGACCGCTTTCCACCACCGACAAACCTCCAATTAGGCTGCTCGCGCGCGACCTTACCGTCCCGCTTGGCACAATTCTGCGCGCCGATTTTGCTTCTGTTCTCTCGCAGCCGCGCAGATTGTACGTGCACATTTTTCGGGGACTGTCGCGCTCGGCTGGCTGGTTTCACATCGCGAGAATGATAGCGTAGAAATGGTGAATACGCATGAGCATGAATATGAGAGTCAACGAGTCAACTGGCGGAAGATTTTAGCTTGCGCGTCGAGCTTGAATCGAGTTGCTGTTTCAATCGATCTTCGTTTCATTCCTCATCGAAGTAATGTACTTTACGACGCTACGGGTTGAAAATCCGAGACCCGTGTTTCTGGGTGTTGTGACGAGAAAAAAGAAACGCTCGTTTCGAGACGTGATAAATTACTGAAGAACATTTAACGTTTCGACCTCTTGTTAAAATATCCTACACAACGCGGAGGGAGGGAATTGAAAACAGCGTTTTTTTTTTTTTTTTTTGACGTCGAGAGTTGATTTACTTTACCGTGCAAACAAAACAAAACGAAGGAAAAAAAATCTGCGGGCCTAGCAGATCAATTAAGATAATAAAATCCAAGTGAAATTCGCGATGCACGTGAATACGAGAAACGCGATATACGCGAATACGCGAAACATATATACGGGGCATGATTGTGCAAAATGATTGTAAGCAATCGTATACGCGGCGTATCGTAAATCGCCGCTCGGGTTTTGAAAATTCAAACCGGGGGTCCGCGATCCCCCCGGGAAACCACGTGGCGGTTTGAATAGTGTTTTCGCAATGCCCGCGAGAGAGACGCGAAAAAAAATTGCTGCAGCTACGAAAGCGACAGGTTGACCCGATAATTCCGCCGGTCCCATTGCGCGGCGACATTCTTTTATCTCTCTCTCTCTCTCTCTCTCTCTCTTTCTATCTTTCTCTCCTTTTGCCAATTGCGTCACAGGTCGACAGTGCCGTCGGAACGTCGAATTCCCGACGTCGTGGTGACGCCAACGACGTTCTCTGATCGTTCGACTCGTTTTCAATTGGAGCGTTTCCAACGATATCGCGATAGGATTAAGGCTCCGTCCTCGGAAAGGCAGGACGGAGTTTTTCTCCTTTTGCCGTCACATCGTAAACCAGTGCTTTGGTATTCTTCGTGCGGTGTAACACGCGGCCATCTCTGGCCGAATGAATGAAATCCAACGGGCGAAACGAGGACTCTCGCGTGTGAAAGTAAACCCAAGTACTAACACTCGATGCTAATAATTCGAATTCGCCAGGTTTCGCGCGTTCAATTTAAAAGCGTGATAACGTAAGCGTGGTGTAATGTATAGTAAAACGTGGTAGATGTAATAGATATTCAATAACATATGAAATATTCAAGCATGCATTATAACGTACACGCATATCTTATTTTAATGGGTAGATCCACGCCGCTGTTTGCGCGTTTATGGGAAATTTACAGGTGTACAAATGCATCGGATGTGCATAATATGCAAATTCGTATGGAAATTCACTAAAGTTAATACCGAGGTATTTAAACAGCAACGGTCCATTATATCGGGGGAACTGCAATGTTCAGCGAAATCGTCTTTAACGATTCATGCTCGGTAAGTTTTTGTTCGCAACGTTCTTTTTCCCGCGTTTTTCTCACATTCAGCGTCCCTAACGAGTAACTTTTTTACATTGATTTCCAATATCAACATTTCATATTTGTCTAATAGAAATAGCAATCACGTATCTCAATTTCCACATGTGTTTTTATTCCACACTGTGTACTTTGTATTCCCACGCAAATTCTAATTATCTTTTATTCTAATTTCATACCCAAATCCCAATTATCTTTTATTCTAGTTTCCACTGTTAAATACACACGTCCCACATTCTACTTTTCGTATACTTTATTCTAATATTCTAATATTCTATCATTTATTGAATACTCCATATTTCACTATTTTTATATTCCATATCTCATACTCTTCGTCTCACTCGTCCCATCAGAAATGTGAGATGTGAAATATAGGATGTAAAATTACATGGAATGTGGGACGTGGAATACAGAATTTGAGACGCACATATTGACATTTAGAATGTGGATACACACAGAATGTGTAGAGCGTGGGATCTAGAATGTGAGATGTTAAATGGACTACGAAGTAAAAGAGATTATTATGATTATTATTATTAGGATGTGAAATATGGACAGTTGCTGCGCACAATTGAAAATATTACAGGTTAAATATACTCACGATCTTCATGTAGTTTATGAGAGAATATCCGTGGGGCCAAGTATCGGTGGACTCGCAGGACAGTGGTTTGATGTCGATCTGTTGGGACGTGTCCAAATCGTGCAGCGCTTTCGCGAATAGGTGCACGGCGTCGTACATAAGCGATGTTTCAGTCTAGACGAATCAAAATCAAAAGCCAAGAACGTTTCACTCTCGTAATAAATGATTTCTCTTGGATAGAAATATTCAAATTATCGATTCTCGACGAAACGAAACTGTATGAAAATCACTTTTTGAAACCTCTGCTTTTCGTGGTTAAAGGAGAGAAGCTAGCTTGAACTTTTACTCATCGAAAAAAAAAAAAAAAATAAGGGGGAGAGAAAATCTTTGTGGCTTCGCGATAAATCGCAACACTTTGTTTCTGCGTGCGTTCGAATCTTTTTCTGAATTACTGTCAAAGCTCTTCTGAAGCATTCATCCCTATGAATGTTCTCGCTTGTAGCGTGACTACTACGCGTCCTTCTATTTGAAATAGGCAATATCTCCGCAGGATTTTACGAGGCATCGTTCGCAGAGCCAGATCTGTTCTTCGTTTTTTTGCAGTGCCACGAGATGGCCAGTCGGACAGTTAAGATAAAATTTAGTCATCTAAGTTAACATGGAAATTGCGCGATGGTTCTTCCTTTCCTTTTCTTTCCTTCTTCAGCAACGCTGATTGAATTTATAGACGCAATATAATCCTTTGAAACGAGAATTTCTTCTCGTTAGAGTTTAAACAAGGCAATCTAGAATGTTGAGAAAACTCGCGAGAATGATCCGCGTGCGTGACTTGCTCGGAAAATTCGATCGATAATAAGACGTTATTGTTGCAAGATAATCGTTTCGCAGCTTCATTATTCCCCGTTTATTAATAATTCATAGCGAGGAAACATCAAAGCATTTTTAATTAATTGTGTAGCCTTAAACGTTATAAGATTGCCTTGTCTAAACCTTGTCGCGGAATTAAAAGGCTTGATTAACGTGAGAATGGTCCACAGAAGCTTTCTGGAAATTCATTTAAATTCAGAATGTCTCGAGCGGCTCTCACAACGTGACAATGTCGAGAATTTACTGTATTTTCGCGAGAAAGCTTCTCATGGGATTGTTTCGTTTAAGTATCAACTAACGAAACATCGTGCCTTACCTTTATGCAAGTGAGGTTGTTCTATTCCACGCGTGCATGAAACAAAAGCAATCATTAATCGATTACAAACTTTTCACTCGGTCCTTTGATTATTATTTCATATGGTACTTCTAACTACTTATTTATTAACCCTTTGTGCCATTCCCGATATAAACGAAAGTTACGATTACGAAATTACGTAATGTTAAATATGCTGGCTTATATAATGAAGAGTACAACTGAACCATTGCTGATGATTTAAACTAAGTCTTACTTCAAAGCACGAAGTCTCTCTTTAGTAATTACGTCTTCTTTCTTTTTTAACAATTTTGATTTTATATTATATAGTAGATGGAAGAGTTGAAAATTGTAAAAATTCAAAAGCTTCTCTAAAAGCAGTGAAAAGTATTTCTCGTGATCTTCAGAATTAAAAATCTCAGAGTCTGCTGTTAAACGCGATTTTACTATTTTACCGAAATTTACGAGAAAAGCATTAAGAAATGTCAGGAATGTTCTTAAATTTTTGTCGTTTAATCCTAATATTCAAGATTTGACAAAATGCTGAAAAAAAAAATCGTGCAGCAAATTCTGAGGGCTTGTTGTAAAGGAAGAGCTACATTCCTTGTGGAAAAAATTTTTCAATGTTTTTAAAAACATTTTTACAATTTCCGAGAGAAAAGAGGCATCTCGCTACTCGATGTAAGATTATTTCTGAAAAAAAAAAAAAAAAAAAAAAAAAAAACGAACTCGAGATTATGAAAGTAGAAATCCTTTAAAATATGAGACCAAATTGATCGTTTTTTTTTTTGGTAAAAATTGGTATTGATATTGGCGTACAAATGTAATAATTATTAATGCTGGGAAATAAGATAAATGAAAAGTGAGATAGATAGATATAATAGTTAATGGATGAAAATAATGAAGATAGAAATATTAGATAAGGTAAAAGATAGATTGAACGATAAATAAATATGGTAAAGAAGAAAACTGTACAATCAGATGTGCTAAAGGGGATGAATTATGCGAAAGTGTCACTGAGGTATACCAGAAGAGAAGAAGTCATTTTTATTTATATTCCTTTTCCACTTTTATTTCATTTCTGTTCAGCTGATGATGTTCCAGTCTCGCAATTATAGTTGTAATACCTGAATGAAAATCAGTGTAGAAGGTTAAATCCGTTAAAAAGAAAAATGTCACGCTTCATCGATCGAGGATCGATCATAACGGTCGGGCGGTTTCTCTATCGAGAGACGCGATTGAAAATTAATTGTCTCCGCCGTCTCCGGCGAGGTTCGCCAAAAGGAAAATACAACGGGTGAAAACGTTCACGTGCCACGGTGGAAAATGATAGCGAATCGAGGGGTAAACACATACCGGCCGATGACGAATAACAGGCATTTCCTATCTATACTTACAGTTGTCGATAGCAACCAGTGCGCGGACCAATTTATCTGTAATTCAACGGATACGTTGATCATTTGTCACGTGCACGCGATCCTAGTTAATTAGCGCGATTTTGTTAAGTTCGTGCCGCTGGCAGTCGACCGAACGTGAAAATCGAGGGTGCCCTCCCCCACCCGGTGTGAAACAATGTATTTACGAAATCGGTTCAAATATCGATTACTCGGTAGAGAAAAGCAAAAATTGTGTGTTTCATTCCATGTAACGTACCGGGATATCGTTGTTCTTTTTTAAGCGTAAACTCGTTCTTCTGGTTGGATAAAAATAAGAAGAAAATAGTGACGAAAGAATTCACGAGAGTTTCAGATAGCCACCGGATATATTCGTATCAGCGGAGTTACTTCCCGAATCGTTTCCTTTTAATATTATTAACTTTCTCAGATCGAGTTGCTCGAATTGAAGCAACATCCTCGCGGATAGAGACTCGACAGCTCCAAGGTTACTCGAGAGTAAGCGCGGAAAATTTGAAGATACACTCGAGATAGCCGGAAATGAAAGGAAGGCTCTCGGAAACAGCGCAACGCCGTAATAATACGGTAATAGTAATACAGTCGTAGAGCTGAACATCAGGAAGTTCTTTGTGGCGAACGTATCGATAACGCGCGTGCAGGCAGACGGTGAGACGATCGTAAAGGAAATTCGCGGACCAGTTCGACGGGCAAATTGAATTTCGCGGGACGGAACATAACCTGGCTAGCCGAGCGGCGAAACGGCGGAAGGTTCGAGCTGAAGGCGCAAGCTTCCGCGAGAAAAATTCGGACGATGAAATTTCAATGGGCTCGATCTGATTGGAACCGACGCACGCGTGCTTATTATCGGAATCTCTCGCGATTATCCTCGTTTCCTTTTTATCGACAGAGCGAACCGATGTACTCTGGTTCGTGTAAACTGTTGCCAGACATTCTCTGATAAATTTCCAGCGAATACGACGCGTATCTCGATCTACCGTACGTACCGTGGAAAAAGAAAGGTGGCGAAATAGTACGAGGAGGAGAACACGCGAGGACACGTCGTTGTCGAAAATTAACCTCGCACAGGGGACAGTGTAATTTTGTTCGTGGCAGCCAACGCTCGAGCTTCGATACTGGTTGCCAGGCAAACGTTCGCATCCTCCTAACCGCGAGATCTCCTCTTCCGAACGCTTCTAAGATCGGTCACGTACCATCATTTACTCACATCCGCTCAATTTTCTCTGTGTACGGGAGTATTTACATACTCGTCGACGCTCGCCTGGCCGGCGACTCGCACGGAATCGCTAATGCGACCTCCACGGTTAGCCATCGTTGTTCCTTTTCGTCCACGATCCCTTCCCTCCTCCTTCTGCCCGCTCTAATTCTCCCCTCGTTTTTCCTCCTCTTCCGTTTCGCGACTAACAACTTTCCGTTACCGTGCAATTGAGCTGAAGTACGGCGAACAATAAACGCGATTTCGTATTCGTCGAACCTGCTCTCGTGTAACATCGAGACCGGAATCGTCCGTTCGGCTCTCTCCTAGGAATTACAGAGCTTCTTTTTACTCGGAGTCTCTTTTTTCACGCGCTTTGCGGGCAGAGAGAGAGAGAGAGAGAGAGAGGGAGAGCGGAAAGAAGCTCCAGCGAAATAAATCGGGTTAATTACACGTAGAGAGAATACAAATTTCTTTCTCCCTTCCGTACTTTCTGCCTCGTTGTCGCGGCCGCTCTGCAACTTCCTCGAATATTCAACGAATAAATCAGTTCAGTTACAAATTCGCGATTTCCACCACTTGGAACTTGCACAGTCCTCTTGATCTATCCAGTAGGAAAGAATAGTTTCCTACTTTCTCTAGCCACGTGTTCCAACGTTTCGGGATCGCACGGAAATTTCCTATATCAATGTGTTGTATCGACAATTGGCGTGTCCAACCAAAATTGGAATAATTGAATGAGAATTTTATTATTTGAACAATTTTAACCATGAATGGTTAACCATGAATACTTCAGAACAGATTTTTTTCCCCATATGAAGCACACAAACATTATTCCTTGTATTGTCACTGTCTATATCAAACCTTTTGATATTAACGAACTGGAAGCTTAGTGTTCTCGTTAAAAATTTTCTTACACATTTAACTATGTAGTTTTCTAATCAACGTATTGCTTCGCTATAATATTGTTTTAATATCCTCGTAAATAATATAGGTTAAAAGAAAGAAAAATGTAAACTACGTGTGGCCTTCGGCAAATCTTTGTTGGCCAATCTTTGAGGCCCAGAAGATCTAAAAAGGTTGGACACTCGTGGTCTAAGGGAGAAAAGAGGGAACGCGTCGATTCATCAAAGAAATATTTATTTTTCAACGTATACGTGACAAACATAAATAATCGTATCAAAAGGGATATAAACTTTTATTTACAATGCGACACGGCCAATGATGCGGAGCAGGTAAAAATGCGAAAAAAATGGGAAAAATATCGAACTCAAAGTCCGTGTTGAAGCTGATACTCTCCTTTTTTTCCCATGTAAGCCTCTCAATCCTAGAATATCTTTGTTACATCGCAAAATATTTTCTTTTCTTTCTTTTTAAGTCCCGATGC